ACTCGGTTAGATGTTTTGGGTGTACTACATAAACATGGAATGTTGTTAGAGTTTTGTTCAGAAAGTCAAATTTAAGAAAAAGTATGCTGTTTAACTTAGTAACAAGCTCAAGCCTTTAGAAGGTTTCTGGATGTAATTTGCACTGATTGCACGTACAACACCAATAAGGAAGTGTGAGAGACCTAGTCCATAAGTATAATAAAGATTTTTGGCTAATTCACTGAAAATAGAACTCTTCTCTGAATCGGTCATTCTTACTTTATGTCTCAATGGGGATGTTCCTTTTATTTAAAATCTATAAATACAGCTGTAGATATTGATTGTCCCAGTTCGTTGTAACGGATGATTGTGCATGTGGAGATCCTGTTATGTTTGGATGGACGAGAAAAGAATCGGCTGCTGATGTCAAATGGATTTTAGGTATTTTTACTAGCATTATGAAAAATGCATCACATACGGCTAGCATTGTGGTGGATTGTGAATAAGAAGGAACAAATACTGTTAGCCTAACATATAGACAACTAGTGTCAACTAGTACTCTGCTCTTTATATGTTTGTCAAATATTTCATAAGAAGGTAAGTGTCATTTGACGTGTAGTCTAAGAGTTGTACATATCCACGAGAACACTTCATAAGAGTTTATCAGTGCTGATTGGTAAAAACTGAAGATGTTGCACTATGGGCTATAAATTATTCTCATTGTACATCCTTAACCGCCATGTAGGTATATCACATATTGTACTAGAAGTCAAACAGTTAATGACAAGATACTGTCAAACCGTAAAGAAATGTGGTCGGTTGCATATAACACAAATAATTTAACATTTGGCCATTCTACAAACAACAGAGTCAACTTTCCGCATCGTCAGCTGAAAAGACACCTAAAGAAGCAAGATCAATTACACATATTAATAATGAAGGTTTACCTATGGAATATTCTGACATCTAAAAAGAAAAAAATGAAGAATCAATTGCAGCCTTCAAGATCTATCCGGCATGCATTTTCATCAGACTACAAGATAACTTTAGAAGTCTGACAAAGTTTGCCGCTAACAGAATCTGATGCAAATTTGAGAAGAATTATCGACATCCAGAGTACGAAACGGGGAACAGTATGCTTATTACTGATGGATCATCCTGTGGTGAAGTTGACCATATGTACTTCCAGGACATTTCAAACTTGTTGCCACCAATATTGACACAAATTCCACATCGTTTCATACGTTAGACTTTCACAGTAGGAGCGACACATAGAAAGTGGAAACACAAAACAGCAGAACCGACTGTAGGAACACACTCAGATGCTTAAGAGTAATCAAATGCTGTAATTCGCTACCAGCTGAGCTAGTCCAAGCGAATTCCCAGGAGTCCTTTAAGAGGAAACCTTATATGTTCTTAAGGAATAAGGACAGTTTTTCATCATAATTTACCAATATTTTTTATCTTTAATTACAATTAGGTTCTTATGCAGCAGCATCTGCGATCCACAGGTACTAAATACTTAAGCTTGCTAATTAAGTTTTTCTTCTATTTCATCCAAGAACATTTGAGCCATTACTTAGTAAGGTACGGAAATGCCCTGTCAAAGGTTCTTTACCGCACATACTACATGTAAATGAACTCACAAGTATTATGATTCCACAGTGTCAATATATGTTGATGTTGTAAAAATCTGGAGAGAAAAAATATGAGTCGCAGATACATGGTCATTTCAGGCAGACTTAAATATTGTGGTTATTTGATCATGCACTTTGATGATACAAAGGTAAGTAGGTATAGCATATGGGAAGAGCTTATGCCCATAGCCCGCTTTCATAAGGATAATGGGATAGTAGTGAGTCAAGATTTTGGACGATGGGCCCCTTCCGCGAGATTGAAGCTAAAACGTTTAAAAAACTTTGAGCTTTAAGACGGATATTCACCAAAGTAAATAATTACATGTTCAGTACAGTATGCACAACCTTATTGGGAACAAAATGTGAGAACTGCATTCAGGCTGAGAGCTCCTGTTCAGGTGAATCGGATATCCTGGAAGAAGTAAAGAAGGCAGGTACTTGTTCAGTTTCGAAACTATGGGATTTATCATGCAAAGAGCTGCTTGAAAAGCTAGACCTCTTTACCCTATACTACGGCAGATTAAGAGGTGATCTGTTTTGTGATGTATTCAATGTTAGCAGACAATTTTGGACATAAAACATACCCTTTTTCTTCTAATCAGATCAAAAAATTTCAGAGGATATAGCAGGCGAGTCGAAAAGCCGAGAGCGGACAAAATACCAGTGGCATAGAGGTTTTGAAACCGAGTCATCAATTCTTGGAATCTGTTACCCGAAGTGGTGGTATCTGCATCTTAAAATGAAGAAACTCGAGAAAAAATAGACACTCACAGAAGCATACTGGAATTGGAATAACATAGACCGTAGGCCTTCCCACCCCCAACTCAACGTGGACGGTCATTGGGACTTCTTACTGCACACGCTCTTACGTGCTACAAATCATTCAGTTCATCAAACGGTTCCCAAAAGCTGCAAACCACCTACAATAATAAAGAACCGTATCCTTCGCCTGCTAAGCCGCAAAAGGCACTGTTGGGCGGAATATTAACGAACTGACAACGACGTAGCGTACAGGCAATATAAATATATCAGGAACATATGCACGAAGGCTATAAGAGAAGATAGGCTTCAGTACTAAACAAAGTTTATGGACAAATTCGCCTCCAATCCTAAAAGCTTATTCCCTTATGCAGCCACTCTACGTCAAGCCAAAACTGGAGTTTCCCAACTGCTAGGTCTTAATGGCCCGACCAACAACGATGGCGACGCCGCTAACCTCCTGGCTGAACATTACTCCCAGACGTTTTAACCGACCGAGATTAACTTTACTGGTGACAGTTTCGTTTGCAATTCCATAGAACTTTCCGAAGTGAACCTAAGCGCTGACTTGGTGTTCCGGAAATTGCAGCACTTAAGATTAGACACTTCTCCTGGCCCGGACATGGTCCATTCCGCCATACTGAGGGAAGCAGCCTCAATCCTGGCAACGTCGCTTAGCGTAATGTTCTCACACTCGATAAGTCGAGGAAAACTACCGGAAAATTGGAAGCTGACTCACATCACACCAATTTTGAAAGGAGGTCGACGCAATGAACCTCCAAGTTATCGGCCGGTGGCTCTCCTCTCTATACCCTCAAAAATCATGGAGTCCTTGATATGCGATGGTATGAATGACTATCTACTGTCCTTAAATTTCTTCTCACCCAAACAGCATGGTTTCAGGAAGGGTTACTCTTGTATAACCAACCTGCTGACTGCGGTGGACAGATGGAAAAGCATCCTTGATCACAAGGGGAAGGTTGATATCATTTACCTAGATTTCTCAAAGCTTTTGATAAGGCTAACCATACATGTCTCATCAATAAGCTCAAATGACTAGGTATCAGACCACCTCTAATCTATTGGCTCACTTCATATCTGAAAAATCGACATTTTAAGGTCAGGGTTAATTTCACTTTATCTCAGGCTATGGAATGTCCTAGTGGGGCCCCCCAAGGCCCAGCACAAGGGCATCTTCTCTTCTTGATCTACATAAATGATCTCCCTCAACAGGTAACGTCAGACTTATTACTTTTTGCCGACGACGTGAAACTTTGGAGAGAGATACGCAACCAAGACGATATACAGGCACTTCAGGAGGATCTGACTCGACTTCAAAGTTGGGCAGATGACAACGGACTTACTTTTAACACTTCAAAGTGTAAAGTAGTCCATCTATGACATGTCGCAGACTGCAGTTATAATTTAAGTAACTCTTCTCTAGTAGTGTCCCAAGTCGAAAAAGATTTAGGAGTCCTGGTGCCCTACGATTTAAAGTCTTACGCTAACTGTGACAAAAGTGCCTTCCGAGCAAACCTTGCACTGGTAACATTGAAGCGCATTTTCGGCCAGTTGACGGAAGAACTTTCCATATAATCTTCAACAGTTTTATCCGTCCCCATTTAGAGTACGGAAACATAGTTTTTCCCCTCTCATTCCAAAAGAATAAGGACACCCTGGAGCGTATCCAAAGGCGAGCCACGAAATTAGTTCGAGGACTCAAATTTAAACTTTAAGAAGAGCGCCTCCATTCACTTAACCTTTACCCATTAGAGTAAAGGCGTCTTATAGGTGATTTATTATTGGCTTATAGTATTCTTAACACGTCTGAACATCCTCTCAAACACCTACTTAAGCTTAGTTCCAACACTAACCCAAGAGGTAACACCCAAAAACTGGAGACACAACATAGCAGAACGGACTGTAGACACAACTTCCACTCCTTAAGAGTTGTCAGACGCTGGAATTCGCTGCAGAGCGAGCTAGTCAAAGCAACTTCCCAGGAATCCTTTGAAAGGCAACTTGATCTCTTGTTAAGGACTAAGGATAGTATCACACTATGATTTACTAATTTCTTTTCCTCTTTTATTGTTAACACACCTAGGTTCCTGCCTGGAGGATTTGATGATCCCCTAGACACGGAAGCCTGTTAAGCGAAAGCTTTTTCTGTTCGGTCCACAACCATTTGAATCCTACTACTGACTTTAGTTGGCGGTATTTATGAAGATGGTGTTACTCAGAAATTTATGTAAGGTTTTATATTTTAAACCATATAAAATCAAGATTTTCCTATTTGGTGTCATACGGCTCAGTTCAACACCTTCAAAAAACTTCGGCATCTTCCGTAGGCGTATTCAATTCAGGCGACTACATGCGTGAAGTAGTTAATTTTTTATGTTTCTTTAATAAACTACAGGGGTCAGAAATTCAAGAACAGGATGTGTTGTACAAAAAGCTAGTTATCACCGTTAAGGGTCATGAGCCAATGGTGCTAAAAAGTTACGAAACTTTTGTCAAACAAGTTTGTGATAATCTCTCTATAGCTCTTATAAGGTAATGTAGGATTTCTAAATAGAATTATTAATAAGTGAGACTCGTAACCGACCGACGTTTTTTCGCTTGTCCATGAACAAATCACCGTTTATTTACAAGAAACAGCAACGCCAGTATGAGTTTCGCACACACTACAAATACTTCACAGTAAGTGATTTTATATTGTTATGATGCCATTTAGGTTGATCACATAACAGGATGTACTGCTGACGTATTTCTGGAATATATCCAAAGAAATCTGCCCGAGGGTGTAGCTATGGAAGTTGTAAAGGTAAGACAAACTTTGTCGAATGTCTACACTACTCACCGTCTCAAGCAGTTCAACACGGCGCCTACTGCTGAGATTTATAATGTAGTACTGCGTTTCATTTAAAAAACGTTTTCATATGAAACATTTTTGAGCGATAATTTTATGTCAAAATGAATTGTGAATGAATCTTACCTTTGGTACTATTCTAATAGTAATGTCTACCATTAGGGCAGTTTTTAGATATTTTGTTTCTAAAAAACTAACTAAAAATCAGCAGCATCTTTGTTGGAAGAGATCATGTTTTATGCACACAGTGCCATACCAAATTTAGAAGGAATGTTGTCGAGCAACAGTTACTGAATGTAGGTAAAACCTGAGGCATTCTATGAATTCATAGAAACTTGTTAAGTTTGTTTGAATTGCTCTAGTTAGCCCTACATAAATTTTCCACAGTTCGCTCTTGCTTTTCCAGTAGTAGTTTCTAACAAAGTGCCAGTTTAGATAATTAAAGTTCATTTGATTTATGTAAATGAATCCATAGTATCCTGATAATTGTAATGACGAAAATCATAATCATGAATGTGTTACAGACAGAGAAATTCCCGGCATCATCTTAATCCATAAGGTTTATAATGTATACAAATTACTAAAATAAGGCTTTTGTGACAAACCACAAGCAACTTTTCTGACATGTTTTTGTATGCTAATCGCCTAAACAATGTGAAAAGCTTTTAAAAAACTTGCTTTCCCGGAAATATTGTAAGTAAAGTGAATAAGAAACAGTATTCTAAGCCTCGATTGTGCATGAATATTTCAAGTCAAATTCGCTCTAATATTTAAGGAGATATGTTGACTTCAGCATTTTCTTCCATAGAGGTTTTTAGCAATAACGAAAATGCAGATGTGTCCGTATTTCGCCTCCCGTCATGTTTGCGAGTCTAGTCTCAGGACAGTTTTCTTGGTGCCAGTTTATTTATGCTTCCTCTAGACATGAGGATAAACAATGTCATTGGAGCCTGTAGTTGTGTAATTGTATGCAATTCATCTCCCATCTTGATCCTTTTTCGTACTGAATTTCCTCCATGCATTTGTTTTCCTTTTTTGATAGATTTCACATATGAGTGAAGTGTGATTAAAAATAGATGAAAATCAAAATTCATTAAGCTATAATTGATACTACTTAAGATCAGTTGTAATGATCCAGATGCATTCACTCTTGTGGCAATGCATAAGTATCTTTCTATTCGTTTTAGTAAATGTGAATCAAAAACAGCTCCACGGGTTGTATATTTTTCTCATGCAACCGACTCAGTTATTCATTTAGTGATTTTATAATTATTGTTTCAACAAACACCAATAGTAAACTTCTTTTTTGGTTTATAATTTTAGCATCGTTTGGAACGCCTTCCCGAGCATTTATAAACCGCTGGCAATCCTCAAATGTATTTGAATTATAGAATATATGTAAATACGTTGCACAGTTGTGTTGACTTCTGTCAGTGTGGTAACTTTTGCCAGAAATAAAATGTGACCTTATATTCACATACTCCATAACAAGTTACCAAGCTCTAATAACGTTAACATTTGACTCAGACTTAATTCATGACAATTAAATTCACATCTAAGACTATTAGATGTTGTAAGTAGTATAATTCTGACTTTCTCAACACCTCCCGCTAGCATCTAGTAGTCTATAAATCGGACTGGGTTCCAAACACAAGCCATGTTTTTGGAAGTCGAAATATGCCGTAACTTGTTGTTGAGCACTCATTTATTATAGTATAAATGGGGTACTCCGTTGGTTCAACTCACAACCAGTTATAACTGGTTTCCTTGAACCAATCGCGGTATTATGTTTATAAGAAACTTGTTGAGTATCTGAAATGTTTAGAACTTTTTCCTAAAGACTTGTCTTTTGGCGCTGTACTAGTATATAGGTAGTGTATAAAGGCATATTGCACTATGCGATTGCTCAAATCAAATCAAGATGTAATAAGCAGCGGACCAAACACAACTTCGAGGAGTAAAATGAACTAGTTAAGTCAATCTAGGTTAAGGTGTTCACTACTTCAGGCTCTCTTGTAGTCTGTTTTGGTTAATCAAATCATCCTTTAAATCCTAGCAAGGACTACGAAGTGTGACAACAAACGAAACACTTCCCCTAATCGCGAAGTTTGTTCGGAATATTGGACGAAAATACTTTGGGGTTGAACATCGAATTTGCAACCGTACCATTGCTTGTTGTAATATCCTAAAGTTCGTTTAATTTATTAGATTCTGTTAGTGTTCTGAAGATACCAAGGGATCTTTAGTTGAAATTACTTAACGAATATAAGTTAGATAGTAAAAAACAAGATCTGAACATGAATGCAGAAAAGGTGAACTAACGATCCATTGCTGATCAGAATAATCTCGAAATGTCTTCGGATTTATTGACTTAAAATATATCCAGCTAAAATAAACCTATAATTTTGTTACGGACATAAAATAATTTAGATGTCCCAGGATAAACAATAGTATTAAGTTTTATATGCAAAGATGGGTAGTAGCTAACAGTAGAATGCAGTTTGATGGGCATTTCGTCCTATTTGAGACTGGTCAGCTGGATGTACCTGCATCTTAGAGTTGATGACCACTGTGACTCGGACTCAACTGAACTTAATTATTAGGTTTTTCCTGAATTCTACAAAAGTTCTTTTAAGTCAAATATTGTAACTGTGATTTGTACACTATGAATTTACTAGGACAGACAACTCAATTTATTTGTAAAAGCATTTTATTTCAAACAAACATTCCGTATTTAGAAATATCGAAGTTCTCTGTAAATGAATACAATTCATTGAATAAAACAACTCATTTACAAGTTGAATAAACGAATGGATTGAGGAACACACACACACGTACTTATATGTGCTAATTTCCATTTAAAATTGAGTGAGGAAACAAAAAAAACAAGAACAACAACAATTTTCTCAACGCACGCTAATCGAAATCAAGAATAAATAAAAGTAGAAATTATTACTGGAAAAAATTGCAACCAAAATTAGCGAGAGAAAGTAGAAATGAATAAAAGGGGAAACGGTAATTGTAGATATATATATATGTATAGAAAGCAATTACTTATAATATATACGATGAGTAGTAGGTGCTATTGAATTTTGATTACTGTCATTGGTGTTTTTCATCAATATCACATCATGAAAATGTTGCACAATACTAGTCTGTTCATTTCATCACAATCTAAGCAGAACTAGAAACAGCTAATTTTTTTAAATGTTCCATAAAACCTTGAAGTGATACATCGTCTGTTAGTACTGCACTACCGGAATCCTAAAATTACAATTTTATAATAGGGATACAATTATGAATGAATTGTAGAAACAGTAGTAAACAGATTGATTATAGCAAAATGTAATATAACAAAAATACAATTTCAGCCTATTGATATACTGTCTTCAGTACAGGGGGTTGGGAAGATTGCCAATTTCCCTAGTTTTATATCATACACTGTGACCTGAGTTAAATAATCCTTGAAAACTAAGAAGTACTGGGCAACTGTTACGTCCTACTATGGAATTTCTCAACAGTTTGCACTTACAACCTCATCAGGAGTCGAATCTAGAAACTTCAGGCGTCAGCTTTAAGATTCCGTTGGTTTATATAAGCTTAAGTCGATTCGCCCATGTGCACCATTAGTTTGGAATCAGGTTTTCCAAATCCCCTAGGTGGACTCTCCATGTCCACCAACCAGGACATTCGCTTTTCATCCTCTCAATTTGGTAAACAACAGTAAGGCTTCGAGAAGTCAGTGAGTAGGACTCCCCTGGCAGAGGCTATATACGCGTGGCCATGTGAAAGTATTTTGAGAGGGAGAGTGGACTCTCCCCACTCTCAGCCGTACCAGGGCAAATACTAAAACGTAAGTTTTCATATTAGCTATTCACCTTTCGTTTCTAGTATGTGCTTATGTTTCGGAAGGATTTATTCCCTTCTTGGATGATGTGCCAGAAATTTTTCTAGCGCATCAAAAAGTGTATTTTCAATGATTAATTGTCAAGGAGTATTCATAGATTTACTATGAACTATTTTGCATTCATTCCTTAGTCCAAATAATACAAATTAAACACTTATTCCTGTTTATAGAAGAAGGATTGCTTACTTTGTTGACACAAAGACAATATAGAAGTAGAAGTTTATTATACAATGTACTTTACATATACCTATAGATGGCCCCCAAATACCCTGGTATGGCCGGGAGCAGGGTGGGTTCGCCCTCCCTCTCGAAATACTCTCACACGGCCACGCGTATACAGCCTCTGCCAGGGAAGTCCTACTCACCGCCTTCTCGTGGCGGGGGTGTTGTTTACGTAAATGAGAGGAAGAAAAGCGAGTATACGGCGCTTTAACCGGATCCCAAATCAATGGTGCACATGGGCTCCAGTATCCTGAGGGAACAAATGGCGTATGAACCAATCGTTGGTCACCGGCTACCATGGGACTGCGTCTCCTTACGATGCTCCACTGCCTTGTGGGTCAGACCTTTGGGTCAAAGGCTTGGAGTGTGGCCCCCTAAGAAAACTACCTGCTTCGGTTTGGGCACCCGGGCAGTATCACAGCCCACACACAATTAATGAACTAAACTGTCTATGGTTATGGAAACTAGTTCTCTTGCTTCGACGAACATTCAAATGATTCAAATATTATTACTGCTATTATTATTATTATTTACTACATCATTATTCACCCTCTTCTATTCCTACTCTGTCTATACTTATTTTTTTCGACTTATACAGCAGCTCGTCTATGGTGGAAATTCGACTATATCTAAACGTTCTCGAGTCACTGTCCGGTTGAAAATTGTATGTTACCACCGAATATGAGTACTGAAGCAGTTTTTCTGAAACCACGTGAGCCATTCAAACTGGCTGCCTTCAACGTTCGCACACTTATGCAGGTCGGACAACAGATAGGGCTGGCTGTGTCTTTGGAAAGGCGTTGGTGTCGCACTAAGCGCCAGAGCTGAGGCAGCACTAGTCGATTGGATCCCCATTAACAGTCGGTTATGTGCTGTTAGATTAGAAAGTTCCATCAAAGTGAGGAGAAATCGGAGTGAGAAACGATGTCTTTTTGTCATCTCCGCCTATGCTCCGACAGATTGCAGCCCGGATGCAATCAAGGATGAGTTTTACCACCAGTTGTCTGTTCTTCTCCAGAAAGTGCGTTCGACAGATATTGTAGTACTAGCCGGAGACTTGAATGCTCAGGTCGGGCGTCTAGGCACAGAAGAGAGTCGTTTAGGTGGCCGATGGGAACTCGTTGGTCGCAGGACAGATAACGGGGACCGTCTACTGCAACTTTGCACAGACCACAACCTGTTTCTGGCTAGCACTAACTTTCGGCACAGTCATCGCCGATGTGCCACATGGCGTCCTCCTTCTGCATCTCAAGCCTGCACTCAGATTGATCACATCGCGATCAGCTACCGCTGGCGTGGTTGTGTACAAGACAGCCACTCCTTTTGGAGTACCTATCTGGACTCTGACCATGCCTTGGTCTGCGCCAATCTTGCCTTACTTCTCAGTGGACAACGAAGTGACCGCCATCAACGGATTGATATTAGCAAGCTGGTTGAAACTTCTGTTGCAAATAAGTATCAAACCGAGCTAGCTTCTAGGCTAGCTACCATTCCACCGAAAAGTATAGATGAGCATTGGTTGCAATTGCATGACGCCATGAAAACGGCGGGTATAGTCAGTTGTGGGTTCACGAAACGTCCCGCTTATAAGCACTGGGTTTCTTCAGGCTCCTTACAACTCATTGAAGCCCGTCGGTCTACTCCGGGTGACCGTGAGTTTGACCACAAACGAAGGTTGTTACGTAGCGAAATTGGGCAAAGCTTGCGTACGGACCGAGAAGCCTGGTGGTCGGAGTGTGCTAATGAGATGGAAGCAGCAGCTGCCTTCGATTCGTTGGATAGGACTGTTCTCTGGGATTGTCTATTGAAGGGTGTGTCTAAGAAATTCATTGACATCTCAAAAGGGCCCTATATACAAACACCTCAGGGAGAGTGAGGGCATACAACCACCTCTCTCCATTGTTCTATTCGAGCAGTGGGGTTAGACAGGGTTGCCCAATCTCACCATTCCTCTTCAACTTTGCCATCGATGACATTCTGGAAACAGCTCTGATGAATGTAAGTAATGGTGGTGTGGATCTGTTGCCTGGAGAAAAACTTCTCGACCTTGAGTATGCGGACGATATTGTCTTACTGTGCGATAATGCCCAAGGCATGCAATCTGCACTTAATCAGTTGGTAGTCAGTATCTGTAGGTATGGTATGTGCTTTGCACTTTCGAAGTGCAAAGTACTCCTACAAGACTGGCAGGATTTCAATCCTGTACTCACCCTGGATGGTGAGCAGATAGAAGTGGTCGAGAAGTTCGTGTATTTAGGTAGCTGCATAAGTGCTGGTGGGGGTGTGAGTGATGAGATCAATGCACTTATAGTGAAATCCAGAGCGGCTTATGCCAATCTGGGCCATCTTTGGCGCCTTTGTGATGTTAGTCTGGCTGTAAAAGGTCGGATTTACAACGCGTCGGTGAGAGCAGTTTTGCTCTATGCTTGTGAAACCTGGCCTCTTCGAGTTTAGGATGTTAGACAACTCTCTGTGTTCGATCATCTCTGTCTCCGAAGGATTGCTGACATCCAGTGGCAACATGATTTTAGTAATGCAGAGGTTCGGCATCGTGTGTTCGGGCACAGAGATGATAATTCAATTGGTGTCACCATCTTGAAACACCGACTTCAGTGGCTTGGACATGTTCTACGGATGTCGTCCCAGAGAATTCCACGTCGTGCATTATTTGCCGACTCTGGGACTGGTTGTAAAAAGCGGAGAGGTGGTCAGTATATGACATGGTGTCGTGGTATGAAAGAAAGCTGCAAAAGACTGGCTTCTGTTGGTCCTTCATGACTCCCTAGTTGGGGTCTGAGAGATGGTGCTACACAGTGGCTAGAGACGTTATCAGATATGGCTCAGAATAGAAGCCGGTGGCGATCCTGCTGTAACCTTTTACTTTCTTCATAAAAGTGGTTGTGTCTCCCTTAACTGAAAGATTTGTACTGATTGTATCTTTCCGTTCCCCCATTATGACTACGATTATTACTACACTCCCTTACACCGATCTCTTCGTTATTGTTTTTTTTTTATTATTGCTTACGTTCCTCACTATTTTTTCTTTTTAAATTCTCATTGTTTTGTGTGGCGCATATATATTTGGCGCACTCCTGTACCAATATATATGTGTTTAAATAATAATAATAAAATAATACCTATAGATGATCTTTCATGAATTTGTCTTAAGGCATTAGAAATGAAATCATTGGGAAACATGGAATAATATATTTCAAATCAATGACAAAGTTTGACTTTCCATATAATAAAAAAAAGAACCGACTATTCGACGACAGCTTCTCTACACTCCTCAACACGAGATATCATGATTTAGTGTAATAGGGATTATGACTAACAAACATAATTCATGTTTAACTTACCGACTACAAGTGATAATGTGAGTACACAAAAATCTTACAAATACAAAGTGCACGTAAACAAATGATGGAGACGGAAACAAAAGGGAGTTAGACCCTACTTTTTATTATTATTATTATTATTATTAAGATTATTCTAGGGTGCAAAAGGAATAAAATCCAAAGGTGCGAGCACACAAAATATTTGATAAAAGTCACAAAACATTGAAATGACTAGAAAAAAAGAAGTGTGGGAACTGATAGGTCTTCTATAAAATTACAGATCAGAACCAATCGTACTATGTCGTTCGATTACACTGCGAAACACACTCATGAACAATACATGCTGATATCGGAAGGACATTGTTGAGTGTCAAATATGATATATAAATAAATAACCACAGATTCTCAACCAGCAATGAAGGTTGACTAACCTTTCACTGCTGATTAGAGCAATTGATGGTGTAAATATTATCTTGAGGAATGTTACACAATTTAACTTATAAATATCAAGTCAAGTTGAACTCTACACAAGCCGTCTAAACTACTAAAGCTTTCGTGAATTTACGACAGATGGCGGTCTTCATGAGAATCTTAAAAGTGAACAGTTATCAAAAGCCCAGTTCGGTGGATTGCAAGCATCATACGCGTACTAATCAATAGCAATCTGGAATGGATTTTTAAAGTTGTTGTCAAAAGCTAGTTTCCAAAGTTTAATTCACGAGCCAATCTCAGGTAGACCACTATTGGAAACCTGCAAGGGCTGGACGGCTCTTCCGTCCTAGCATGAGACTCATCAGCAGTGCACACCCCCTATCCTGCACCAAAGGGACTCGAACCCAGGGCCTTTGGTTTTGCGCGCGAACCCTTAGCCTCTAGACTATTGAGCAGGCATCTAACAGTGTCAATTTCTGACTTCGATCGACCCATGATCTTATGTAACCCTTCATCCATTGCCGTGATGGATAACTGTTTCACACGACGCTGATTGAACGCCACTGGTCACGCGTGCAGGATCGTATATGCGCACCGTTGAGGAGTCCCGTACTAGAACAAAACGGCTTTTGTTATAACTCTCTCTTTCTTACGGTTATGACCCAGCTATTCCTATTGCTTAGTATTCTCGGACACCGATTCACCTGACAAGTCCCCAAATCAGAACACGGTTGAACAGGAAGAGATTATATTCCAAATAACAAGGTTAGATGGAAGTAAGAAGCAAGTCAGAAGCACAATAGAGAAAACGTCAGTATATTTATAGTTTTTTACATGAGAAGATTCTAGAGTATTCTCCAACTATCGACTAGTGCTGATTGGATAAGAATTAGCCAATCAGCGTGCACCAAAGCAATCATGCATTGAGCATGCTTTAATCTAGTCTATGTCCCGCTAACAGCTTTCCAGTGGTTTTAGGTTTTCAATAGTGGTCTAGCTTAAATCGGCTCGTGATTTCAACTGTGAAAATACTAAAATCTCTACGAATCCCCAAACTTGAGAAGCCAATTTATCTGTAAATTTAAATAATGTGTAAAGTGACCACACAGATACATGACGCTAGATGTTTACTCTGTGTAGCGGTTTGACTAGAGTTTAAGAAGTGGGCCAAGTCAGTAGTTAAGAGGTATTATCTTTGACGGGATACCTAGTTTTTAGAGGTGTTGTATTCTCACCGATGAGTGTTCTTGTGATGAAGTTTTCATTGCTTATCTAAATAACGTCAGCATACCATCATAAATTTCTGAAAATTGGGCTAGTAAAATGTTTTCATGATTGACTGGCAGATGGTTCAATTCTTCAAATTTTGAATGCTGAGTTACAAGTGTACTCTATCACTTTAAGATCTCACATAGTTTTTGGTTGGATTCCATGTAGAGTGTCAACAGTAAACATATTCTTGATCTTGGTCTTTGTTGACTTAATAGCAGCATTTGACTCCGTAGACCGCGAGATTCTGTGGCAGTCTGTCATTGAAAGGCGTACCTCAGAAGTACATAAACCATGTAAAGGCTCTTTACTCGAACACTACTAGTCGAGTCAGAGCTTATGGCGAACTGTCATCTACTTTTGCAACCTCAAGTGGTGCCCGACAGAGCTGTCCACTTTCCCCATTTCTGTTGAACTTCATCATAGACCTACTGATGGAAATAACATTCTCGTCGACTGAATTCTCGGGTATTGATCTCCTACCAGGAGGTCAACTTATCGACTTAGAATATGCAGATGACATAGTCCTGTTTGGTGAAGACGCTGACAAAATGCAGTCTTTTGGTAGCACTAAGCAACAATGCCAGAATGTTTGGAATGCGCTTCTCTCCCTCTAAATGCAAGTTGTTGCTTCAGGACTGGTCTGAGTTAACACCTGAAATAAGGATAGGGAGTGAAGTAGTCGAACGCGTCGACAACATCACTTATCTTGGAAGTCTGATCAGCCCTAATGAGCTGGTATCGGACGAAGTCTCAGCACGGATTCGAAAAGCTCGTTTGGCTTTGGCCAACTTACGTCACCTATGGCGAAGGCGAGATATCCGTCTATCAATAAAACGACGAGTATACTGCACGGCGGTTCGTTCGTTTTTCATTTACGGCAGCGAAACATGGCCATTAAGAGTAGAAGATATTCATAACTTACTAGTATTTGACCACAGATGCCTTTGAAATATTGCTGGCATCTGCTGGGTTCACCGGGTAAGTAATAGTGAGGTTAGACACAGGGTATTAGGGAATGATGGTAAATCAGTCGATGAGGTTGTGAATCTTCATCAACTGAGATGGTTGGGCCACGTGTTACGTATACCTGAACACTGATTACCACGACGTGCAATGCTAACCGGTGTCGGAGTTGGTTGGAAGAAAGTTAAGGTCGGTCAAGCCAAAACGTGGCATCAGTGCTTGAAGACACTAACTTCTAGTCTGAGCCATGTTGGTAGATGCAGACTACTTGGTTGGGGTCCGGGTGACTATCGTAACCAATGGTTAGAGACTCTTGGTGACATGGCTCAGAATCGATCACAATGGCGTCGGCGTATACACTCTGTCTTCCTTCAAACTATGAGATTAAAATCGCTTCATATCTTTCTTTCTACGAACTAATTCTTTCTTCTTGTATTATATCCTTATATGCAATCTTTCTTTCATATATTACCACCACTGAATTAACTACTTTCATGAATCCGGTGTTCATCTTTTTGTGTTAATGAGGAATGGCAACTTGGACCGATGTATATATGTGCCTGGTCCTACGTTGTAGCTGACTAACTGACTATTCTTGATAAGTGTGCTAAACGAAGACAGAACAAATGTTGAGTTTTATATTCCGTTTTAGTAATGTTCCCTAGCTGTTATTATGACTATTTTGCAAATTCATAAGTGTGGGTTGATTTATCAACAAAAACATTATATTCCTAAATTAAAACATGTACATGCCTGATAAACAGGCCAGTAAATCGATTAATCAAGTATTTGAGGGTGTACATACATAGATCAGAGTTTTGAATTGATGTGATCACTAGTCTATGTGACTCGATAGAGCGTCCACACTATGTTTAGATTTTAGGTAGTTGGAAGAAGTTGGAAAAAACCCTTAACTTAGGTTTCATGCTACTTGGCGCTTATCACTAAGGCGCACTTACAATCTTAAGGGAACTGTTGATTCCAGTAAGATTCGAATTTGAGTCATCCGGTTTCATAGTCAGAGAAATCTAGGTCTCAAGTTTCCTGTGGACTACACCTAAAACTGTCTAGGCACTACAATATTGTGTATGCAAGTGTCGAATCAATTAGACTAATGTATGTATTGAGCTATTTAAGCATTTACTACTAAAATGGAACAACATTCAGTAATCTTTTGTTCCGTTTTTGTAAATCAAAGCATTTAATTAATAATCATGACACGTCAATATTGGATGTTTGTATATAGTATAAGCATAGTAAAAAGCAAACACACACACACAAACCCCGAGACCAACATTTTTATTACAAAAAGAAATACTTACATCTACTTGACACTAAATAATTAAAGCAGATATGGTGAAGAGTTTCATTTTATTTTTAAAGCATGCATCTTATAGATATATTGATACAAGGGAAACTTGTTCAGTAATGTATCAGTGTTATGAACGGCATAATAAAATACATACTTTGAGTCATTTTATAAAAGAACAAAACTTCAAACAATAAAATTGATAAAGTAACACGGTGAGACTATAATTTATGGATGATCTTTGAGTAACACTAAAGTAACTTTGAGAATGTCAACTTTATAATTAGGACCAGTGTGTGGAATTTGGATTATGATTTATAGTTGATGGTTTGAGGTTAGGAATTAGATTTCGAGTTTTCATCACAAACTGATATCAGCTAAAATGTCAAAACTCTATTAATCCAAATGGATGAGTGAACTTCGCGCTAAAATCCGAGACCTGTTATCTTCTATCAGATTAATTCGATCATAAATTATAGTCTCGCCAGTAATATTTTATTTGAACGATTATTCGTCGTCTACGATTGATTCATCAGACTTTCTGTCTATTTTTTTTTCAATGGTAGAGATTATGAGTCAGCTGTAGCTAGACCACTATGGAAAACCTGGAAGCACTGGATGGGCGTTCCGTCTCCTCAGCAATGCGCATCGAAACTGATAGGTCCTGGGTTCGAATCTCGAGGCATGGGATCGTGGATGCGCACTACCACTGAGGAGTCCCATAACAGGGCAAGACAGTCGTCCAGTGCTTCTAAGTTTTCCATGGTGGTCTAGTTTCAGTTGACTACTCATGATCTCAATCATTGGAATTACTACAGTAAAGATGATCACTTATTAGGTTCTTATGGTTAAATGTCTTATAATTAAGAGATCATTTTATGCGAAATTTATTAATTATAATCGTATTACTCTTGAGTAACTAGTTTTCTATTACATCATTTCCTTCTTTGGGATTTTAAATGGTTATTGATTAAGATCCTGAACCGATTGATGTTAGATCGTGACCAGTGGAGCTAATCCGTATCAAGCAGAGACAGGTATCTACCTTAGTACAATGAAAGATGGTCGCGCAATTTCGTGGATTGGTTGGGGTTAGACATTAACGCCGTTAGGAGCCAGCTCAATGATCTGGTCTAGAGGTTAAGCGTTTGAGCACGAAATCGTGGATGTGCACTGCTGAGTCCCATAATAAGACGAAATGGCCGTTCAGTGCTTCCAGGTTTTCAATTGAGGTCTAATATCAATCGGTTCATGATCTTAATCAAAAACTTAATAATCTCCACAACCCTATATTGATGATTTAAATGGTTAGTTTGTAGACCAATACATATTTTATCCAATCTAACTCAATTTAGATCAGTACACTTTATTTGGGGGGGGAGGAGCGGATAAAAATAAAACCGAAAAAAAAGGGTATGAAGTTAATTACCTGACCAAATGAATACATTGTATGATGTGTTAGTGATGGATTAACTTTAGATAATAGAAATCGTGCTTGACTACCATCATGTTCTGTTTCAACATAACGTGATACTGGAAAACGTGTTTTTAATAATTCTTGTGCTTCATATCTAGGCTTATCTAGAATTTGTTTAATATGTGCATATTCAGGCATATCCTATAGTAAACAATGAAAGAATAAAGATATGTGTTAATGTGTATATACATACATAAAATATAACTAAATTTGAAATAATCATGAATGATATACCATGAAGGACATTAGAAGAAAACTACGAATGACCAAACATCAGCCCATGAACTCAATGACAATTGAAATGACCCATGTATGCAGATCCAGACTATCTGGTTGTAGTCGGACCGACTATCGTAACCACGATCATCACCAATTTGTTCAATGAGTATATTATTTACTATTTTTCACAATCATTTACATTTCCGAGTTATTGATAGTCAGAAGTGTTTTATCAGTCCCCGTTGATAAATAAGCTCTTTAAGAGAATGTCTCAGCATACTACCTACATCTGAAGGTTTACTATACGTATTTATATGTGTATGCTTTTAGCTATTTGCCGGTGCAACACCAGTTCGAAAAAAAAGTTAGAGACGGGAAAACCAAGTTATAGCATCAATCTGCGAAGTCAGTGACTATTGGACTAACCCGTCTGTGCAGATCCAAACTATCTGGTTATGGTCTGCACGATTATGTTAACCAGTGGATGGGAGATGATGTGTGACATGGTACGGAATCCACTACAACTGTGTATATGTTTTCACTCTTTGTTTTCTCCGAGGTCTTCAATTTGAAAATAATCTCATACTTTTCTATTCCATGAAATTATTCTCTCGTTTAGAAATATACTGTCTATGTTTAATCCTTCCTATTACCGCTGATACTGTTACTATTCCTAACACTCAGTTATGTGAAGACGCTAATGAAATCCAGAGTTTTCTGATCACATTGACCAACAATCCAAACATGTTTGAGATACAACTCTCTTGATCGGAATACAGAATGTTGCTTCAGGAATGATTTGCATTGGCTCCCTACTAAATGATAGGGAATGAGACAGCTGAGTGATCAACCGACTTAATTATCTTGGAAGTCTCATTAGTCCTGATGTCTGCAAAGGTTTGGGAGGCTCGACTGGTTTATGCCAACCTCCGTCATTTGTGGAGTAGGCGATGTTTTGACTGACTTTGTGATTCGCATCAATAATTTGATTTCGTTATGTTGATAAGGCGCGGCAACTTGAAATGATGGACAGGTGTGCCAAATCTTATGTTGCATATGACTTGTTGACAATGTTTAAGATTTATGAAGTGTAAAAGCAGTCAGTAATTGGCACAATAATTATATTAAGGATTAATTGGAGTTTATCTCAGTCAGTCAATAACAACATAGAACTTCGTACGTACGTACATCAG